AAAGGGCAAATCGTCTGATGCCTCGCTCACAAACTCACTCACTTTTCTGGAACACCGTGGCGATCTGGCTCTATTTTATAGATATTTTCATGGATGATGCTCTTGTGAAATATCAACAATTGTTCCTCCCTTGGCAGTTCCCGCGAGATTAACCCGTCGATTTGAGACTTCGCACCCCTTCGTGGTCACCTTGGAGACCTGCAGAACATCTCTCTCCAAAGACTCGTTCATATAACGAACAGCGAGGCTCTGTAATACATTGCCAAGGGACGTGTTGCCCGAGGCATATAACCAGACATTTGAAAAAAAGACCAATTCCTACCTTATATCCCTTGGTTCTCACAATGATCTCTGATCATCACATCAGGATACCCCTTTTCGTGGGAACCAGAACATAAAAAAAATTGTACCAGTATGTCACCTGACGAACCTACTGTGTTAGCGAAACATGTCGTGTGACCAAGGATTCCAAAGATGAGTGGAAATTCGATATTTTTTCAATATATCTATATTTCTTCTCTTCAAACATTTTTCCAAACAATAAAGGGTTACTGACATATTGGATTTTTCTTTTAGGCTCCCTGATGGGAAAATTTATAGAACGCAGTGACATTTTGAGGCAAATCATCTCATTTGTCCTACTATACATGTATTGAAATAATACGCATATTTTTATTTTATAGAAACGAGGAGAGAAGATCCCAAATGATCAAGTAAAATAAATGTAACACTTCCTCGATTAACCTACAGACAGTATCTAACAATTCTTAATGTGAAGCATTCGTCTATCATTGATTACAAAGGGTGAGACACAATGATGAATCAAAGTATCATCATATCATCGGGATGTTATGTGTGTTATTTTATCTCTTGGGGCGCACGAAAGAAAATTCCTATGATGTTCGTGAAACATCGCGCGTACTTAGGGTGGATAGGGAGAGGAGGTAGGTGTTGGAATTTTTTTTGAACTTTTGGAGGCTATATCCGGTTTGTATTTGGGTTTCTCTTCACACTATGCGTATTAGAGTCTCCCAGAGTTTCTGGTTTAATCGCCCATTGAGATCTCCAGTTGTATTGTTGAAAATTAATCTGCTATTTCAGTGAATTTCAAGGAAATACAGAAATAAATACTGAAATTATTAGACATTTCGGGCCTCAGGCAAAACGTTCCCACCATTATACATTATTTTGATCCAAATTATGTTAAATAAGGGTGTCCCACCATCATCATTGTCGTTGCCTATTGAACGTTGACATGGCCTTTCACCAGTTCCACCGAGTTATCTTCTGATTTTCTTGATAAATATTCAGTATAAATTACAATTCATTTACTTATAAACGCGGTCTCCAGATGTTCATTAATTTATTCAATGATTAATACCGAATTTAATGATCACGATTTTCACACACATTTTTAGCTATATCAAGAGTAAAGACATCAAATTAGCTAATACCATATAGAAATAATCATATTGATAATGATAGTAAATTGTCAACTATTATACGGGGATTATATATTTACACATATTAGTTGTACTGTCTATTATTATCGACTATTACATTGTATATGTTCAACTTTCACTTTGGACAACAAAATTGTAGTCGTCTCGTGATTTATTAATTGAATGACAATTTGAATTATACTCATACACTCATACGGCAAAATATAAACGCCACACCTAGAATATTGGTGACTTTTGCTCATCAATAACTTCGTTAATTCGAGTTCGATTTGGTTATCCTTTTCGCTATAGTGTGGGTCAATTCATATAAGGAATATATGATACAGTTCGAAATGTCAAGAGAATATGGTATATGCCCATGTCTTACAGACAGATATAAAAATAACTTTCTAACACATCTGTAACACCCTGTATAGTGGTAAAATTAGCTATTCAATTTTGAGAGGGAGTACACGAGGTAGTATACAAAAAATACTCATGAGCACCACCAGAAAAAAGTTGATTGGTTACAAACGGAACATGCGCCGAAGTTGAGACTAAATTGGAATATAAATTTTTGGCTTATGAGCAACTGCATAATTTGATGTAATGATGCATTTCAAGTGACGAAGAATTGAAAAGCAAACAATATTATTACTTCTTTACACAAAAGCTATGAACCCGAAAAATGTTCATTGATAACAAATATCAAGATATGAACATGGACAAATTGATAATGGTGCAAGGAAACTAAACAGGTTATACAAAATGAGTAAAAATAAATTGAAAGTAATTTCTTTTGTCACATAGAAACAGATAACATCGTAACATCGAACAATCTTTGATTTTTTGCTTTCATTTCAATGCTTCCAAGGAGGATACTGATATCCCAAGGAGGGGTACTGCGTCATCAGGGGGTACTATCCCTCAGTACTCCCCCCTATCTACGTGCATGGGGCAATAAAAAGTTTATGATTCAAGATTCAATACATAACATTTTATGAATATTGTTGTGCTGAAAACACCTCAATTCCATTTGGCGTCTTACCTCACATGCCATTACTTATTGCAAAAGCATTAATTTATGGCTTCATATCCCTAAAAATTCGTTCATTATTTTCTGAATATCGTTAGGTTTTTCGGGGCTGAATCATAATTTGGGAAATTTCAGCACCCTCCAAGCCCCAACTATGGCGCTGACCCTGTAATTTTTCATTTTGTCATATAGTTTCAATGAAAATACAAGGGTTTAGATGAACCTAATAAGTAAAGTACCCTCCTGATTTCCACATGTTCATAAATTTATTGAATTTTAGAAACTGCAAGAATGGCATTAAAATAAATAAATGTAATTCAAACCCCAGAAGAAAATACAAGGTATATACCACCGAAAGGGCATCACCTTTATTAATGATTTAAATTTGGGGCAAGGCCAAGTGACGTACTCATTTTTAAAAAATGTTTGTTCAATTTCCAATGTAAAATTTCCCTTTGCTTGGAAGACTTGTAGAAATGGAAATATTCGTTAGGCTGTATCATATTGATGTATTAATTTTTTTTGGATTTCTAATATTGAAGATTTAAGACAGCATCAACGCATTTTCAACAAAAAATATATCCATAGAATGAACAGCTTCTTATAACATCGGTTATATAATCATCCACAAAACTTTTGTAATTTACATAAAATTCCTGTTTCGTTATTTTTTAGCATGTAGGTATTAATCGATATTAATGATATGCTTTATGTTAAATTTTTCAATTTTTTTATAAAACTAATAATTTTCATGAAATTATTACAAATATTACTTTTCTATACAAATGTCAAAAAACGACAAGGTTCGCGCATTGATAATAAATTGCAAACATCCACGAAATCATTTATTTCTGAATGTTCAACAATAACTTTGTTTCATCTCTTGGAGCGCACGAAAGGAAATTCCTATTATGTTCGTGGAACATCGTGCGTTCATATAGAGAGTATAGAGGAAGGCCTTTTAAACCAGTTCAACACTATTTTTTATATCAAGCTGAGCATATTTTCACATTAGAACTGTATTTTTTGACGTTTGTAGAACAAAATTTGTTTGCAACGAGCGCGAAATACTTTGGTCATCTCGACTATTTTTTTTACTCGGTTACGCCTCGTCCACTAGGAAACAAAATGGTTATCTTTCGTTTTTTTTTCATAAACTAATCTTCAGATTAGCAAATTTTGTTCTCTACACATCAGGGTGAACTCTTATCGATAAATTTTCTAAATGAATTGCACTCAAGCCACCCCATTTTTCAATAAGTGGATTCTTCATGAAAATCAGAGTATATATACAGGGTGATCCACGGTGGATGGCCTATTAGAAGTACCTGGAGAACGAAGAGACAGAACATTGTGAAAATTGGGATCCTTTGATAATTGAACATTCTCTATCCGCCTAAAATATTTTCATCGATACAGTGTTGCCACTTCTATCAGAAACAACTAGCAACTTTGTTATTTCAAATGGAACACCCTGTATTTTATTGCATTTTTAGATTCCTCCTGAAGAGCTGATTTCACCAATGCATCACACTTGGGGTCTAGCAGGAATGATTACAGAGATACAGGGTGGTTCAAGATTCAGAATTTTGATCACCCTGTAGCTGTTCCAATTAAATGTCAGTAGATAGCGAATCAAAAGTTAAGATAGGGACATGTAAACCGTTTTGATCGATAATGAATAGTTTCGACACAAAAAATTCCTGAAATTGAAAAATCTCGATTTTGAACACTCTATATCTCTGTAATAATTCCTGCTAGACCCCAAGTGCGATGCATTGATGAAATCAGCTTTTTAAGAAGAATCTAGAAACGAAAAAAAATACAGGGTGTTCCATTTGAAATAACAAAGTTGTTAGTTGTTTCTGATAGAAGTGGCAACACTGTATCGATGAATATATTTTAGACGGATAGAGAATGTTCAATTATCAAAGCATCTCAATTTTCAGAATGTGTTGTCTTTTCGTTCTCCAGATACTTCTAATAGGCCATCCACCGTGGATCACCCTGTATATATGGTATACATTAAGAAAAGGGGGATTCTATGTAGAAAAGAATCTTAGATTATTTCGTCTCCAAATCGAAGCACCCCTAGATTCACTCTGTCCAATATGAAACAAGTGTCAAACAATTAACATTTGAGTAAGTTAATATCTCGGTGAATATGTAATCTACATCAAGAACGAACTCAAATATAACATAATTCTTACCCTAATATATATGCTGAAATTATGAGAAGTGTATCTGATAATATTATCACAAAAAAATAAGCTATATGGAGCACAACACGATAGTTCGAATAAAACCAATGTGATGTGAAAATTCGAAAAATTACATTGAAATAAAAAAAAGAATAAATTAGATATTCACTGTTTCGAATGGCACAAAAATCAATTGTTTCAGCCATGCTCGCGAAAAATGATTGCTTCGTCAAACCGTCACTTGACCAAACACCGAGAACGTGATGAATGACAATTCAGGTGTGTGTCAATAAAAAAAAAATTAGTTACACAAACGCCTGCGGGCCTCAAAAGCTGCATCTTCACTTCTCTCTGCTTCTTCGCTCTTGGCCCGACGTATACAATAAGAAGAATCCACCAAGAGGTTGTGACCCTAATTTCACTTATCTAAATGTTACCTACACGAAAGATGGGTATGGGATGATGCAGAGATGTGTTTCCTTTGGGGGGATCGATTACATAGTCAACCACTAAGACACTATAAAAGATGCTGCGGTGTCATATTGAAGTACCACACGCTTTCCAATTGTTCGAAATGAAGTTCTTCGTTGTGGCGGTAAGTACCCTATTGGTTTTTTGTGGTACCGACGAAAGGGGGTGTGATAAGTGAACGCGGTTTCGCATGCAGGGCATTTTCAATAAGGGGGTAGTGCTGATTCTGAATCAATATTCAAACGTGCAGTGCCGCAATCAAAAATAGATTTCTTGTGAGATAAGGATCTATTCTGATAGTGTGTATAGTGGGTGATACGATACAGCGCGACAAAACAAAGATCGGTATTGTTTTTTGGGGAAAGATTTCAGTAAAGTCAGTTCGTGTATGAATCGGAACCACACAACCGTACAGTCATCTTCAGAAAACATGAAATAAGAGCGCTGACACCGTCCAACCGCGACATGATCACTGAAGATGACTGTACATGTGTAGTCATTTATTTTTGTTGGAGAAATTATTATTCCAAAAATTTTTTGAGAGCGAACATATGTTCTTGGTTCCATATACAATTCTTGGACAATATTTTTCCTGAATGAACCACAAAAAATTGGATCGACATCAGCCAGCCAAATACAGAGTGTTTCGCGAAAAGGTGACCCCGTTGGTACGTACCAACAAGCACCAATTCGTTGAAAAACCGTTAAGAATTGATTGTGTAACCAACCTTACCAACTGTTGAAAATCTGTCAAGATGTCGCGAGACATAACGTTTTTTTCAATCAGAAGTTATATTAAAGTTGAAAAATACGTATTTTTAACGAATTTATCAACGATTCTTTGAATGATTACGTTGAATATATGTTACTAAATCGTATTCGTATAACGTTATCATTGACAACGTTGATTCAACGTACATGTGGTGGTTGATTCGATGCTACTGGCAACATTCATTGAAATTATGTATGACTTCGTTTTTATATCTGACTCTCATAGAAGCAGTACACGGTTTGTAACAAGTAGCTTAAAACATATTAATAGATTTTAATTATTTTCAACGTGTTTATCAACAATTTATTAATATTACCGCCTTGACTATCAATATATGTCAAATTGAATGATAAACAAGTTCACATACAATTTTGACTAGAAAATCTAACTTTGAACATTCCATGTTGACAATTACTATTCCTAATCTAGCAACAGGGCAATTTGTCATTTAACACCATGTATAATAGACTATACAAAAGGAAATAACTTCAAATATTGGTTTACATCGAATATTTTTTCATTCAGTTATTGCTCTGAGAGTTATCAAGATTTTTCAATATACAATAATTATGAAATTTTCCGGTATTAGAATTATTTTTACAACAATGTGAGTGATTCTGTTCTACAATTCTCGAGATTACCATTATCAGACGACAAAATAAATATTTCAATAATTTATCCAAACATTTATGTCTCTTAGAAATCTTCGAAAATGTTGTTTTCATTTGCAACCATTAAGTAAAAATTGTATTTGTTGACATTTCCGGTTAAAAAGGTTTTTTATGATCTCCTAAATAACTTAAAAATATGACCTCAAAATCAAACTAGAATGATGTTCAACATTGACTACTTCTTTTAACCCTGAACATATATTCCCATTAAGTTATATTGACAGAATCGATTATCAGGTTGGTATTTTACATTTCCTTCATTCCAAGTCCATGGTTTACTAATTTTGTTGGGACAGGAACGGTAAAGGTATACTTATCGTACAGTTTGTGAATTTTCAACTATTTACTAGTTTGCAAAAACAAATTTGTTCTCTGGACCTATATCAGGAATATTTATATCCTGGCTGATGCAAATATGAGTAAAAATGTAAAGGATGGTTGTTAATTATTTCATCATAGGGTTGGGCATATGTGTGAAAAGACCTTATTTCTGACCATTCTGACTAAATCAGAAATAATTGATTTGTTTTTCTATCAAGACTTTTATAATTTCATCTGTTCTATACAGTGGCTAATTTTTTTTTTGAATGAAGTACCCTGTATATTATTGCAATTTTAGATTCTCCATGGAGAACTGATTTCATCAACACATCACACTATCTATCGGAAATGATTACAGAGATATAGGGTGTTAAAAATCGAGATCTTTCAACTTTACAATTTTTTGTGTCGAAACTATTCATTTTTGGGAAACGGCTTATATGGCTCTATCTTAATTCTTGATTTACTATATCTACATTCAATTGAAACAAATATAGGATGGTTCAAGATTCACAATTCTGATCACTCTGTATCTGTCTGTATCATATGAAGTTGAAAAATCTCGATTTTGAACACTCTATATCTCTGTAATCATCCCGCTAGACCCCAAATCCAAATCTGATGTATTGATGAATTCAGCTCTCCAGGGAGGTTCTGGAATCGCAATGATATACAGGGTGATTCATTAAAAAAAATTCTGACTGCCCCATATTTACAACGATATGATTGCTACCAAAAATAAACATTGGCCACTGTGTAGAATAGAAAAAAATAAAAAAGTCTTGATAGAAAAAAAAAAGGATTTCTGGTCTAGTCAGAAATAAGATATATGTGTAGAAACACATATGCCCTACCCTGTATTTGGATATGGGGATAAATCATCAAGGTATGGGTTATGGTCAGGTTAGGTCTAATCTTATAATACGTTCAATGATAGCGTGAATGACACGCAATTTTTTGAATATCCACTATCATTATTTCTCCAAAGCATGATGTTTGAAATACTCTCCACTTTCTTTCGTGCAAGAATACTTTGTTATGTTTAGTATGACAGCTATAATTTTATGATTATTCCGATCGAGGATTATTCACTACTTACACGCCTCCTTTCATCGTACACCCGAATAATATTCCGTTTTCACCTACTGTCGTCGGATTTTTCAATCATTTTTATAATAATCTGCGAGACAAACGGAGTGCCCTAGTTAACACAAATTGGTCCCAGAGATATTAGAGGGCATCACATTCATGCCACACATCACACCGGTGACTCGAAATGAGAGTCGCACTGAAATCACAATGACTGCTATTTAGGACCCTTTTCGTCATTCTATGATTCACATTATGATGCCAAATAAAACTCACAGTTTGAGCGACTCCTCATTCAACATCAAAATTGATTCATTCGGTTTGTTACATAAATAGACAAGAATGTGAGGTTTTTTTGAGTCTCTTTGTTGTTAGGGATCCTCACAAATTCACCTACATTTTGAGTATAAAATCCAATAAAATGTGAGGAATATTGCGAATGTTTTCTAAAATAAAGAGTCCCCTGGCCCCTGGCAATACCAATGATGTTTTTTTGTAATTCGCATTGTTACCTAGCGAGACTAGAATGTGACATCCCAGGGATGTTTGTGTTTACTGGGGCGGTCCACCTGAAATGTACACCATTTTTTCAAATCTAATATTTTGAACAACACTCGTCCGGTTCTGGAACCGTTCATGTTTCAAAATATCAGATTTTGAAAAAAGGTGGACAAATGAAGTTGATAACCTACAACCGTTTTCCAATACCCTTAACATATTACCCATAAAATAGTATATTTTGCAACAAGTGGGAAAAGTTCACCATTTCTCACGAGTGTGAAAGTTCGTGGCACGAGCCTGAAAGGCGAGTGATGCAAACACACGAGTGAGAAAAGTACTTTTCCCCACATGTCGCACACTATACTCTTTCTACAACTGCACTTATCCAAAGAATCCAAGTAATGTAACTTATTGGTTTTCATTTTATATTGTGACCAAAGAGTAGACGCCTTTCCTAGTTCCCAAAAGTATTTTAAAAAAGTACACTTTCCGAAAAAGATTTTATTTCTGTATTATTTTTAGATTCCATAAATTTTTCGTATATGCCATTTCATACCTTTTTTTCGAAATTTCCGGAAACAAATCCAACTTTCGCAGCTTTTTTCATCACCTCTGTCTCTGGCGGTGTATTTATCAAAATCTTCATATCTCGGTATATACATCATATTATATATATAATGAATTGTTGGACTAATACTTGATGGAAACTGCGATTTTTATCGAAAGCACTGATGATAACTACCCTAAGGAATTTGAAAAACTTCTTCTGACAGTTGTGACAACCATTCAAAGCTGAACAGCAGCCAATTATGTTTTGGTCGATTTTTGTTTCTCCATGGAATAGTATATTGTGCAACAAGTGGGAAAAGTGCTTTTTCTCACATGTTGCACACTATACTTTTTCTACAACTGCACTTATTCAAAGAATCCGAGCAATGTAACTCATTGGTATTCATTTCATAATGTGGCACTATGCCACATTGAATATTGTGACCAAAGAGTAGACGCCTTTCCTAGTTCCTAGAAGTATTTTAAAAAAGTACACTTTCCGAAAAAGAATTAATTTCTGTATTTTTTCAGATTCCATAATTTTTCGTAACAATATGCCAATTCATACTTTTTTCTTGAAATTTCCGGAAACAAATCCAACTTTCGCAGCTTTTTCCATTATCTCTGTCTCTGACGGTGTATTTATCAAAATCGTCACATCTCGGTATATACATCATATTATTTATTATGGATTGTTGAAACAATATTCGATGGAAAATGCGATTTCTATCACAAGCACTAATGAGAACTACCCTAAAGAATTTAAAAAACTTCTTCTGACAGTTGTGACAACTATTCAAAGCCGAACAGCAGCCAAGTTCTGGTCGATTTTTGTTGATTCTCCATGGAAATGTATTTGGTGTTGGCGAAGTGCCATGAGAAAAAATATTTCTCACAGAATGAGCAATATACATGGTTTTGAAACTGAGGAAGCTATGAGAAATGCGCTACTTTCCATAGCAGTAGTAGAAAACATAATTTTTATATCGCTTATTCACAGGTAGCCACTACTCTCGTCGCCCTAACACAGGGTCGTCCCCAATACAACTACCCAGCACCCTCCCCCTTACCCAGCGGTAGCTATGGTACCCCTGGAATCGGAATAGGAGGTGGAGGAATCGGGGGTGGCATAATTGGAGGAGGAGGAGGAGGAGGAAGTTTCATTGGCGGCGGAGGAGGAGGAGGTAGTTTTATTGGCGGAGGAGGAGGAGGTAGTTTCATTGGCGGAGGAGGAGGAGGCAATCTCATTGGAGGAGGAGGTAATCTCATTGGAGGAGGCGGTGGTCTCATTGGAGGAGGAGGTGGTGGTAGTGGTTTTATCGGAGGAGGAGGCATCGGAGGAGGTGGCATAATTGGGGGAGGAGGAGGCGGAGTCCTCGTCCAGAAACACATTTACGTCCACGTGGCTCCCCCAGAGCCCGAAGAGCTCAGACCGCAAAGACCGATCTCTTTGGGCCAGGCCACCAAGCACTACAAGATCATCTTCATCAAGGCGCCGTCAGCCCCAGCGCCTGTAGCCCCATCTATCGCCCTCGGAGGTCAAAGCGAGGAGAAGACCTTGGTCTACGTGCTGGTCAAGAGGCCCGAAGACGCTGCAGACATTAGCATACCGACCGCCGCGCCCACACAACCCTCCAAACCGGAAGTCTACTTCATCAGGTACAAGGCCAAGAGTGAAGCGACAGGTGGCGCTGGAATCGGAGGAGGTATCATCGGAGGTGGCGGAATTGGAGGAGGTAGCATCGGAGGAGGTAGCATCGGAGGAGGTAGCATTGGAGGAGGTAGCATTGGAGGAGGTAGCATTGGAGGAGGTAGCATTGGAGGAGGTTTGATCAGTGGAGGAGGTAGCATTGGAGGAGGTTTGATCAGTGGAGGAGGTTCTATTGGGGGAGGTGGCAGTATCGGTTTGACTACCAGCGGTGGGTCGTCTTCTGTGTCTGTGGGAAGACCTTCCCAGCAGTACGGGCCTCCAGGACATAGCGGACCATACTAGAAGGATTCAAGCTGAGGAGATTTTCATGTGATCGATAGGCATTCCAAAACTTTGGCTCAATTACCATTCCATCTCTGATTTGGCCCTCAACTTGTGGACTGAGTGTTTTACTGTTTGCATCAAATGACCCGTTTAATTAATATTCACTTGGTACAAGAGTTGATGGCTATTTGTGTAATGATCATGTATTGTTGGTGGTGCCCAACTGAGTTTTTCTAGTTACCACTCCTTGTACATAGATTTTTTTTTATTTTTCTACGTTTATAGTATTATTAGGTACGATTAGTTCAATTATTGCAAATACGGTGACAAATTAAATTGACTACCTATTTTTTTAAAGAAGTGTGTTTCATTTCGAATTCCTGAGGCCAAGAATTTTGAAGCGTTTACTGCTTTGGAAAATTTCGTCGATGTATTCCCAACCTGTATACCTACCTAATAATATCAAACCACAAGAATTTACTTATCTCGAATAGATACTAGATAAGTCTACGAAATGTGTTGAATACATATTAGGTGTACATTTCCTAGATTAATTTGAATAAGAACATTATTCCGAATTCTTGTGAAAAACCCTTTGTTGTACTGAGCAGTCTGATCTTGAAATACGTGTTGAAAAATCTTGATAACAACACTTCAAGTTATTAATATAAAATTTTCTTTTTGAATCAATTCATGAAAAATGTTTGAGGTTTCTCCTCTAATCGATTTCAAATGAAATATTGCGAGAGATCAAATTGAATCTAAGCGAGAATCTGAGTTATAATAATTGTTAGATACACCTACTTAATTAGAGACTTGGGAAATATATAAGTATGATGTCTCAATTGAGATGTTATACACATTTATCACTATTTTTCAGCAACCGAAATAATTGTCACCTAATTAATAAAATATAAGTGAAATGTAATCACCAGCTATCTCATCAGCTATCAGATGACTCAATTTAATTTTCTAGGAGTTGAACTTCAACTTTAGTTTCTAGGCACTGAACGTGTTGCCTAGCAATATACCTAAATATTTTATCGTATCAGTAAGAGAAACGTCAATTTCGAGGGCTCATTTTGGAACAAAAATAGGCTGTTTTTTGGTCGGTACAGAAAAAACATGTTATGATATCTCCAAAACGTTTTTTTCCAATATTAGACTTTTGAAGAAGTAAACCTACAAAGTCATCTCCATAATTATTTAATGAAAATCTATTCTAGGGCATGCTTCGAACCTAGGTTCATCATCAGCTATGATGTTGAGTAGAAACAAACAAAATCTTAAAATTATAGTAACATTAGGTAGAAAATTATTTTAATTGCGCAAGGCTGGATTTGCGAAAAACCTAAGAAAATCCTGTAAATAAATTACTCAATTTGAATTTGAACTTTCTGATGTGACCGCAAGAACAAAAGACATTAGGTTTTGTAAGATTAGGAAATTAGCATATGATAATAGTATGTTTCATTCGAAGATGAAGTACCTTTTGTGCTGTGATATATCCATGACAAGGAATAAATTTCTTGTCCTCATAATAATTACCAAGGTGTACCCGTTAAAAAAAAGACATTTGTTGCAGTCGTTCTGAAATATGCGCGTATGTATCTACAGTACATATTTTTTTGTAATTTAAAAAAAAAATTGTGCTTACCCTGATATGCTCACACCTATTTTCATTCTCTCAGTATCTTTTGTATATTTTTGTTGTTTACGTATAAAAAATTTCAACCCAATCGGCTGACCCGTTTTGTAGTTGACGTACCCCCAGCAGCGCCACCTACCGCGTCCAATTGTATTTTTAAGTCATCCATTAAACCATTGAAATACCCATGTTATAATTTTAACTCAATCGGTTCAGCCGTTTAGAAGTTAGGTGAAAAAGATACGGAAGTACGGAAGAATAATCCGTCGGATAATTCTCACAACCCGTTGTCCTATTTCCCGTTTTTCCGTAGGTATGAAGCATTTTCCCGCGGGAAAAAGTAGCGTATGTTCATCAGGGATAATGTCGGCTTTTAATGGTGGAAGAATTTTTCATATCGGTCCAGTAGTTTCAGAGCCTAATCAATACAAACAAACAAATCTTTCCTGTTTTTAATATTAGTATAGATATACAGGGTGATTCCTTAAGAATGGGAAATAACTGAACTACAGATAGTGAACACAAAATTATTAAGATTTAGCCTAACATGCCTCATAAGAATTCTGCTGGTTTAGGAGATACAGGGTGTTTTTAGCGGAGATTTTATTTTAAAATTTCTCGATAACTTTGGAAGTTTCAACAGCATGAGCATGTAACTTTGTAGTTTCAGGTTTTCTGACATGATAAATACGAATTTGAAACTTATTTTGTGATTGCTCATAGAGGGCGCTAGTGGTACTCTGTTACTTCGGTAAATTACATCATATCTTTTTTGTCAATTGAATGATGATTAAAATGAGTGAAAAATCTGAAAGCCCGTTCAATTTTACATAAAAATTTTACTCCTTTTCAAAATGTCTAGCTCTAACGGTTTTCACATTATTCGCTCTTGAAGAGATTTATGTTTCACTCTTAACATTTTAATAATGTCAAATGATAGTTATCGAGCTGACAGTGGAGAAATCGACAGCTCGACTGACAGTGATCAATGTCATCATCATGAATACCAACAACAAACAGAATTTAAAAGTAAATATTCGACCAAAGCTAAAAAAGAATCAAAATGAAATCTTTCTTTGGACATCCTGTATCTGCAACATTTCTATAAGGCATGTTGGGTCTGATTTTAATATTTAAGCGTTTTTTATCTGTAGTTCAGAGATTTCCCACTCTTAGTGAATCACTCTGTATAGCACTTAGCTGTGGGTACGCAAAGATTCATTGAACGAAATAGAAAAATCTCAAGATATATTCAATTGACAATGATAATACCGTGGTGGATATCAAATTAGCTAGTCAAATTTTATGCAAAACGTTTTCTAAACCAATATTCTTGCTTCATTCTTAATGGATTCCTTCACATGGAGTTTTGACACATCTGATCGATATATCGCATCAAAAAGCTCATCTTCATAATTCTCCTTTTTAATGGCATTCAAATCGAGTTGTTTTTCGAGTTGTCGTTCTCATATTTAATTTTAGAAGATTTTCCGCCTTTGGACCATAATCTGTCATTGATAATATGGATTGGTCGTTAAAGGTCATACCATACCGTTTTCGGAAACGATCAAGGATAATGATATTAATGATAACAGTGGATTTGCATGAAAACTGCATAGTTGTAACCAAATTCTGAAAGTATACACCCACATGCACAGGGTGAGCGAAAATCGATGTCTTAGATGTATTATATGAAACGAAAAATGAAAGAATAAATCTGAAAACAGCTCGGAAAACAGGTTCTTGATTGGGAAGAAGTGAAATCTATTTCAAGCTGAAATTGCGTACAACCAGTATTCGGAAACTGAAATAATGACGTATTCAAAGATATATAGATAGTCAGGAGGGTAAAATATAGAGGAATATAATGGACAATCAATGCGCATTTCTTTCTTTAACCATTCTTCGTCTACAATAGTTGAGTTTTGTCTTTTTTTATCAAGTACGTTGAAAAAATGTATTTTTCTGTGACGGGAAAAAAGTTAGGCATTCCATCTCTGTTGGCAGGTTATAAAATGTCACTTTTCATAAATTACTTTTTTCCCGTGGGAAAAAAGTGAGTACTTTTTTCCCGGATATATATCACATATATATACACTGTTGATGGCTTTTGTTGTGCTATAGTTCCGAAAAATGAGTCAATAATACCGTCTCCGAGAAAGAACTGCAATTCCATTCGACTTCGCGGTTACGTATATTACTAAACAACCACTAAATTCGCAATTTTTTTTAAATCCAATCACAGAGTTAGACTGACAGAAGTGCCATCAGATATTTGATTACTTCAAAAGAATGATAAAGATGCCTACAACGCAGGTGTCCCTACTGTTAAAAACTTAAAATTTCACATCGATAATTTTCAGGTTTCAAAATAATGTTATATCTTCTCAATATTGATTCGTCATTTCTTCTGTCACAGAAAAAAATAGTGTATTATACACGGGAAAAAAATTAGATTTCAGCTCACGGTTTTTTGCCTCCCTCCGCTACGCGTCGGGAGACAACACAACCTGGAGCTAAAATCTACTACTTTTTTCCCTTGTATAATAAATAACTATTCTTTCACGATCATGTTCTGGTATCAGGCATTAGTTAATTCTAAATAACTAATTCTCACAATAGCATTCTGCTAAATTTCATGAAATAATTGTGCTTCACTATATACATTATGATGTTATTTAAGTATCTTGCCAAACTTCGAGGGGTTGTTTTTTCGAATAATTATCAGTCGGAAACATGTCCGGAAGATATACGGTGTGTCAAATATTTTTGAAAAACTAGTTTTGTGTAAATATCGCGAAAATCTCTACCAATTTTTTTTAATGTCGCCATATCTTTTGTATTAGTCTCGGTATTCGTAGGGAACTAATTGAGCCATAGATTTACGGAAATAGTTATTTATGTCGATGTGTCTTTTCTATCAAATCAAAACTAGCTGAACATATCCTTACTGAAGATGGACAACATATGGCAGAGTGGAATAATATTAAAATCATTGGAAAAGAAGATAACAACCAGAAGAGAAAAATCAAGGAATTTGCTTGCATTCTTCTGAACGGAGACAATAGCATTGCTTCCTATTCAGTTGATATAGATAGAACATGGTATTCACTATTGAAATCTGAAAATGGTAAATTGAAGATTAATTAATGTAACTCATTTGATTGCCAACGTCACCAATTGTCACTGAGAACCGAGAAGTGTCAAGAAAAATGCGAATTTGCCATACAAAAATCCATTTTTTATATTGAAAATGGAAGCAGATTCGTTCCCGAAACGTTCAAAGTAAAGTAGAAAGTCGATATTTTTTCTATATACCTTTATTTCTCTTATCCAAACATTTTTCAATACAAATTGTCACTGACAAGATAGTGAATTTTTCTGTTAGGCTCTCTGATAGGAAAATTCTTTAAACGCAGTGACATTATGGGGCAAATCATCTGATTTGTCTTTACTACACGTATATTGAGATAATATTAATATTTTTTGTTGTAGAGACGAGGAGAGAAAATCCCAAATAATCTGGAATAATGAAATAATGTTTATCCAATATTTCTTCAGAAACAGCTCCAGTATACATCTCATAGGGACGCCACTGTTAGAAAGATTGAAGGTCCCCTGCATCAAAAAATGACTATTGTTGCTTAGTAGGTGCATGTCATATTTCATGAAAATATCTAGGAAAGTACTGAAGTTTTCATAGGAAATCGATTTTTTCCTAAAGGGCATTATGTTAATATGCATGAACGTTTCTTTATAAAGTGAGCTAAGAAACCATATCCTTCATTTTTAGCCATCAATTAAATTACACTCTGTATATTTATAGAACATTTTCGAGGTCTGAGATAACACAAAATCAATTTAGAACATTAGCTCTAATTGATACAATATTTATTATCCAAGTACCTGTACCTACTTATAGCTCACTTAGCTGATACATTATCCAAACCTAACAGGCAATGAAACTTTTGAGAGTTCATCGACATCAAACCAACCAAGTTCGAGGACAACATAGTTTTTACATCTATCTACTCACAGATTTTTATTATTATTCATTATATCGCGATAAAATGGTATTTATTCATGAGCTTGGGGCAGAAGATGATCTCCTCGCAGACCCAATAGAAAAAATAATGTGAACTCTGTAGCAAGGTCATAGGTGACATTTTTCCACCGATCTGATGTAATCGAAGGCATCTAGATGCCCGAATATTTTGGATGTGCGGCAAGGCTACGGATTTTAGCAGTTAGATCGTTGTTTTTCAAAATTTATTATCTCATTTGAATGTTAACCTGTACCTGCTGGAGTGTCCTTGCTAGGAGGATGTCTTGATATCAGCACTAGTGGGGATTTCGTATAAATAGATTTCATAATATAGGGATTCGTATCTGTATCGATCTGGACACCTCTTCACCATGAAGCTCATTTTGGTAAGTACTAGTGAGTGTTTTTTATGTGAATTAAATAAATTGTATCGGTAAGTGCTAACAAGTTCGCAATATTTCAATTTACAAGTGCAAAATGTTATTTTTCCATTTCAACGATTCTATCATGTTTTTTTCTGTTGCTTATAACTTATTTTTCTCTCATCCTCAGTGATTCAAAAACAATGAGTAGAATTCAAGTAAAAGGTTTTGTTAGAGCTAGGGTAGTGCTATTTTCCCCAACTTTGACTCATACAGTGTTTCCGAATTCAAAACAATAAGTGAAGTAGATAATAGAAGATGAAAACAATGAAATTGATGACATTATTGTAGAAAAAATAGCTATTTGTGTATTTAGAGCGCAAAGTGATAGATTGCCGCTCTACAAAGAAAGTTACCTTATCTTAATCTTTGGAGAGCGGCAATGACACTTTGTGCTCGAAATACACACAAGATTTTTTTCTACTAACGCAGCTTTTAGAAATAACTGCCCTGAAAGTATGAGAGATTGAAATAGTTGATAAAGTTCTTATACATATTATCCCATATGTCCAAAGGAAACAAAAAGAGAAAAATTGAAATAACTGACAAGCCAGAAAAAAAATTGTCGGCCTACCAAGAATTGAAACTGGACCACTAGCGTGGCAACCTGAGCTTCAGAGCCATAGTACGATGAACTCTGCAATCAAATTGAACATTACTCATTGATGCAATAAAATAAAGATACACTGTCTTCCTGATGACAACAAAGAGTTTAAATATATAAAGTATAATTAATTCATCGTTTTCAACAGATATGCTTCATCAGGAGCTTCTTGTATAAATTTGTTGGTATATACCTTCAGCGGTGAATGTTTTGGATTTTTCTCGCTTTATATCCAATAGATTGTTTCTTGAGAAATGCGATAAGTTTCAGATACTTATTGATTCCGATATTATCTTCAACATTCAAGCATGTATACGTACCACCGAATATATAGCCCAATGAATTGATGACTTCAAAGTCTTTGATTTTTTACCAAAATAAGCCAGTAAAACGTTTTCTGAAAACATATTCACCATCTCGGAGTGGCACCAATTTATGGATATATCATATTGTAATTCATATTTCTTCCTTGATTTCTCCGGTAAGAGATTCAAACTCTTGCGCTTTCTGCTATATCAGGTGGTGTGTATAGGTTACAGAGATGTGCGAGCGTTTTTTCAATATTTCCGCTCACGAGCGCAAATGCTGTCAAAGAATTACATTCCTGGGAAAACGTCAACTTTGTGCTGGAATTTGAAAGCGTCAAAGGCTACTTCGTTAAGCGTTTGTAGAAAACAAAGTTTTTCGAATGCATTTAATTTCAAAGTTTGCATGGAACTATTGTGAATCATTGATCCCAGTTTAAGAGCTAAATCAGAGCGTTTGCTTCCGACAACATCAGGAGAGGTGGTATCAATGACTTTGGTAATGTTCCCAGATTATACCATCATAGTTGAAAGAAGGAATGTTGAGTGAAAGTGTAAATTTTTTGAAAAATTTTTGATTGCTCATAATTATTTCTTGTGGCTGATAAGTATTTATGTCTATATATAATACAACAAATCATTCCATGTATCGCTCCAATTTAGGAAACACTTTGTATATTCTCATTTTTTTTTAATATTAGCCTACTTGTTGCTGATTATCCCGAAATCCTTTCCTACAGTTTTTCTTTTCTGCTTATTCTATAGACTTATGCTTTCATTTTCTATACAGTGCGCGTGTAAATTACGGAGAAATGAATATAATTATCGTTGACACCCCTTGATACAATAACGACATTTTGGTTATTAATATTAGATGGGCTAGCGGCTTCAATTTTATATTTTCGACGTTGCTAAATGTGTTTCTGAGATAGGTTTACGAACAATACTTATATGTTTATTTTCAAATGGTACAACCCGTATATTTTATAATTTTCTGTTACAGTTTTCTCGAGAGTTTTCTATTGCCGATTTGTTAATGGTCAATATTGACTATCAATTTAAAGAAATTAGGAATATCATTTTTATTATAACTGTTGATATCAACATAAAGATGAGATAAAATAGGCAGCTTGTTATTTGTTGAAAGAAAAGTCTTAGCTGTTTTTGTACTGATGAACATGATACATGGGGGTGTCAAATATATCTTCATGATTCCTTACTTTATACGCCCACTGTATGTATATTGTATTGTTGGCAAACAGATTCCACCCTGAGTTGAACTTCTTGGAATGTAAATTACACTGTGAAAACAGAACCACCTCCTGTAGAATCGCTAGAGTAGTATCGCTAGATTAGAATCTAACAGTATATCTTCTTTCCCTACAGTTGACCACCCTTGCTGCTTTAGTAGCAGCCGACGTCAGCCACCTCATCAACCACCCAGCATCCAGTTACAATCTACCCCAAAACACCATCACCGGTGATTCCAAATTTGTATCCTACTCAACCACCCCCGCTCCCGAACTAGCCCTGTCACTCAACAACCACCAAAACTTTGGGGCCGAAATCGGCAGCTTCGGCGCTTCTGGATACTCAACCCCCGCCCCATTCTTGGACGGAGGTCTTGTATCCTCTACCCCAGCGCCCCTCTTCAACGGCGTTGTCTCCTCCACGGTGGCTCCCAGCTTTGACCTCAACTCCTTGGGGTCGTACTCCAGCGGCGTGGACGTCAGCAACGTAGGCTACTCCACCCCCGCACCGATCGTAGACTCCGGCTTGTATTACTCCTCCACTCCGGCACCGCAACTCCTCAACTACGCCCCACTCGTGTCCTACGACTCGAGCTCGATCAACTTGGGCCCGATCACCACCAGCGGCGGTTCCATCAACGAGGCCTTCGGTCTCTCCGACTACGAGGTTCGTCCCCAAGTACAAGCCCACGAGGTCAACAGACAAGTGTACTTCTACTCTGCACCCGAAGATGAAGAACCCATCCAGACTCGCATCAGAGTAGCACCCGCTACCCCAGTCAAGAAGAACATCAGGTACATCTTCATCAAGGCGCCGTCTGCGCCAACCCTTGGCCAGGTCGAGATCGCTGCCCCACCACAGGCTGAGGAGAAGACTGTCGTTTACGTGTTGGCTAAGAAACCGGAGCTGGAGCAGCAGATCGTAGTCAAGAGTGCGCCTGTCACCGAAGCGCCAAAGCCAGAGGTATACTTCATCAAGTACAGGAACCAGAAGGAGGCTGAGGAGGCTATTTCCAAAGCGCAAGGCGGCCATGCTGAGGGACACGTTTCGGCGTACAACCACGAAGGAAGCAACGACTTTGTCGGTAGCATCAGCAGAGAAACTACCAGGACTCAGCCCATCATCAACTACTCCAATGAGGCGAGTTCAGCTGGTGAGGGATCGGTCATCAGTTCTTCTGGAATTGGTTCGAGTTCTGGATTGGGTTTGAGTAGCTTGAACTACGCTGGGGCCTTCCCTGCCAGGTTGGGCGATGCTAGGTTCCACTTCAGCGCACCAACTTCCAGTTTCAGCTCTTCATTTGTGAACCAACCAGCCGTTCAGCTCAACCGTGGTTTCAGCTACACCACACCGGCTCCGATCCCGTACAACTCAGGCTTGAGCTACAGTACATCTTCCCCACTACAATACAACTCAGGCTTGAGCTACACCACATCTTCGCCACTCCAGTACAATTCAGGCTTGAGCTACAGCACATCTTCGCCACTCCAGTACAACTCAGGCTTGAGCTACTCCACGGCTGCTCCAATTCAGTTCCAGAGCTTCTCTACTCCCACTGTGAATATCGGTTCTGGATTCAAGAGTGTATTCTCTAGATTCAATGGACCAGTTGTGTCCAGCACTGCTGAGCCATCTTCTTTCGCATCGAGCACTGTAGCCCCTGAGATTTCTGTTTCGTCGACACCAGCTTTCTCCAGCTATGGATTACCTGCCAAGAAATGAGTCCTCATATGATGTTGTAGGAAATTCGTTAATACGCCATTTTGATAATGATGAGAAGTTGATACGTTAGCGTATTCAACATATGATGACGAAGAATTATATAGATATGTGTCTGCCATAATGTTTGTAAATAAATTCTCACTATACAATTTTTTTATGTTTTTTTTCACTCACGATTCACTACTAGTTGTGATATTGGTTTAATAGCTATTCTTAGTTGTACTAGTGTGAACTCCTCCTTATATTTTTTGTTTTCCACCCAACAAAAAAAAAAATTGAAGATTTTATACAATTATTTTTCATATAAGTTCCTATCATAGTGACAGTGTTGCAATATCTTGTCAAATATACAGGGAATTCAGAAAATATATATACTTTTTGAATGTATATTTTGCTAGATATGAATCCCTTATATTATATATTTGAAATCAGGATGAGTTGAGAAATCCAAATCTACCAAAATATACGGCGGATTCCATTAAAAAAAAATGTTTTTTATATACCCTGTATATTTGAAAAGATATTGCATCATTGTCAATATGAGTGAAATCTGTATGAAAAGTTGAATAAAATCAGCTTTAATTTTTTTTTGATTGAGTGTGAAACAAAAAAGATAAAAGGGAGTTCACATTAATAAAACTAGCCCTGATGTACGTCGTATGAAAACATTGATGATCAATCTTTCTCACTTCCCACTTAATGTTCACCAGGATGGAATATTTGTATAAAATTATCTGTAGGATATCCTCATTTTGAAACATATATAATATTTTCATAGGCAAATATTATGAAGCTATTTTTATCGAATTAGGTATATTACAGGATATTTGGACCTATTTTGAACCTATACCCTCGTTTTATGAAATGTGATAATATGAACAGTGCTTGTCATGTCCACAATATATTCATAACAAAAATCTTTATCCAACCAACATTACAATCATGGTCGATCAAGATTCTCAAGATTTTTTGTATCTGTTATATGTTAGGTGACTGGGATGGAAAAAAGTCGTTAAGATTTTAAAGATACTGACATCCTGCTTAGTGTGAATACCAATGGAAATATTCTGCAAAAAATTGCATAACTTGGATGGTGAAGTTGATATTTGAGAAACTCATCAAATCATCAATTTATTTGTTATATTGTTGATTCAAGGTTGGGGGTCATTTCCAATAATATATCACGATACATTTATAACATAAAATTTCTAGCAAATATGTATGCAAATTAAAATATTCTAGTTTGTCCAGTGTCTGATAGTACACATCAGATACATTATTATAATGTTATGAGGTATTCCGAACCATTAATAAAGACCATACGTGTAAAATTACTAATACTGTCTTGATTGGTTTTCAATAAAATTTTCAGTTTCACATCCCGAATCGCACATTTCGACCTCTTAAATACCGTTTCAATAAACACGAAATTCTCGAGTCGTTCAATTCGTATTTTTTTATGGCAGACATTATTTGAACACATTTATGTGAATGTCAACTCCAAGTCCAAATCAAAATGAAATTGGCAAACTAGTCAGGTTTCAGATTTAGAATCCATCTTGAGTAATCTCTGATAATTACACCATATACGAGCAGTAAACATCTCAATTTATCGACAACAATGAAGTAATCATCGCCTATTGAGAAACACTTATTCCTTTTGTATTTTCGATTGTAATTTTATATTACCGTGTAACCGAACTCTAGAATTACATAAATACCTGATACTTCAGTCAACGAACGTTAAAAAATGAGTTTTAGACAGACTTATGAAAAGGTAGCTTTTGTTTGGTGTAGTGTGATTACCAAAAAAGTGCAGGTTTGAAAAATTACTACAGCGCATGTTCACGCAAAGTATTTAGTTTATTGTGATATAAGTAACCCAAAAAAATTGCTGCAAAAAGCATACATACCGTAAATGATTGTTCAACAATAGCCCCCTCTTTATCACAATCATGTTCATTTAATAATTTCGGGACTTCGGCACCAGGGCAATGTATGCAAATTCTTTCCGCGGAATCATTTTTAAAAATTTCAACATAAACCAATTTGCAGGCATTTACTAATCGTTTAAAATCATGAATTTTCAATGAAAATTCAAATTTGATTGGTGACGCCGCTGCATGAGAGCACAAATTGATTATAATTATTGTCTAGGACATGTTGAAAACCCATAAAAATCGTTACTTGAAAGTTGCATACTTCAGAAAAACGTTGCAAAAAAATTTGTCAATACCCAGCCAGTCAATAAGCAATACCTAGTTATTTATTATACAGGGGAAAAATTAGTAGATTTTAGCTCCAGAGCGGAGGGAGACAAAAAACCGTGAGCTAAAATATAATATTTTTCTCTTGTATAATACACTATTTTTTCCTGTGACAGAAGAAAGGACGAATCAATATTGAGAAGATATTACATTATTTTGAAATCTGAAAATTATCTACGTGGAATTTTAAGTTTTTAACAGTAGGGACACCTGCGTTGTAGGCATCTTTATCATTTTTTTGAAGTAATCAAACTCGTAATCAAATATCTGATGTCACTTCTGTCATTCTAATCCTGCGATTTGATTTCAAAAAATTTGCGAATTTAGTGGTTATTTATAGTAATATACGTAACCGCGAAGTCGAATGGAAGATGAAAGGACTTCTTTCTCGGAGACGGTATTATTGACTCATTTTTCGGAACTATAGCACAACAAAAGCCACCAACAGTGTATATATATATGTGATATATATCCGGGAAAAAAGTACTCACTTTTTTCCCACCGGATAAAAGTAATTTCTGAAAAGTGACATTTTATAACCTGCCAACTGAGATGAAATGCCAAACTTTTTTCCCGTCACAGAAAAAAAGTATTTTTCTTCAAACGACATCGAAAGTGGCTTTTCTATGAGACTTAACAGGCAGCAAAGGTGAACTTTCTCTGGCTAGGCAGAAAAAGTTTGTTGCTATGCAACGTTCCAACTAATGTGAATGCAATTTGTAATCACAATTGACACTGACATTGGGTAAACACAAAATGATGGAGTTTTCAGTACCAGTGCCAGGTCATCCAACAACTACAAGTCTGAAAGTTGTTGTTCGATGGCCAGGTATAGGAAAAAGACGTGGAAAATGTAAGGTTAGTGAGCATAGTGTGCTCACCGGTGTCAGTGATCAGTCTCAGTAGCACAAAAAGACTGACGTTGAAGAAACAAGGAAGAAGAAGAACAATAATAATGGCGATTATTTATTTCTCTTCTTACTCCACTGTGTTTGGCTCGGTAATCAAATGAAGGTAAACAATATGGTTGTGTGAGACAAAAAAGTATTGCTGGTCGTGATTATTCAAAAACAAGTTATCCATCCCGAGAATAACGAATGAAATACAGATCGAGCAAGTATGTGAATATTGAAGGCTTTCTTGTTCAAAACAAAAATACTCAACTATAATATGGTGTACTTATATCTCCAGTATGGGTAAGAAATGCCAAATCTGCCGAACTCGGAAACAAATCAGGTATGCTTCCCAACCCAAATTACCAACCGTATAACAATGTTGTTTATTCTTGATGACCTCTAGTACATCCTTTTTAGTTCCTAGTAGCTAAAGTTCAACTTTAACCCCTAGGAACTAAGAATGTTGTCTAGCAACATACCTATGTTTGTGTCAGTAATAGAATCGTCAATTCAAGAGCTACTTTTGGTATTAAAATGGACGACTTCTGTGGTGGTTGCAGAAAAACTATTACTGATTGTTGACGTATTTCCTGTCGTAGGTAACACTGTAAATTCTGTTTGCGAATAATCAACATTTTTATTGTTTTGGCAAGTTCTCACGAAAAATAAAACGCACCAAGCCACGTCGTCCTCATTATAAATGTTATCAATTTCTTCGATCGGAGCATGATACATATTACATGTATTTTCTCGGTTATGCTATCTCGATTTGACCTGAAAAATCGCTTTGGATCCAATTTACCAAAATGCGGTTTTCTCTTTCCCAAGAACGATGCGGTTAATGTCGAAGATATTAATTGTCTTTTTGTTCCTTTGTGTTTCCCTTATAAGAGCATCTTCGGTATCTTGGACAGGATATTGCACAATCCACTTTCTTGTCGATTTATAAAGCAATAATTAATAACATCTGTCCGCAAAATACAATAAAGGAATTTCGGCTACCGGAAAGGTGAATCGAATCGGGACTGGTTTCATGATGACTGTTTATACAGGGTGTCTCTCGCTTTAAGAAGAAACTGCGGCGAATCTTGCTTGATCTTCATGCTCCCACATCAGTTGATAATTAAAATAGTTTGTATTATTATTATTTCTACTATTATATTATTAGTATTTCTTACTGCACCTATAAAATTTGCACCTTAGTTTGTAAGTAAAAACTCTCAACATATTGTCATAGCTATTGATATTTTGTTATAATGTTTACATGTTACTATGTCCTATTAAAGGATTAACCACTAAGGTTTATCTGTTTGGATGATCCACAAATAAATAAATAAATATTCTAGGATGCGATTCTTGGACCCATTTCAAGAATAAAACTTTATATAGATAGATAAATTGAGGTATCAGAGTTGAAAGTATGCATCAATTTTTTTTCCTTCCTGGTATAGTTTTTCGTGATGACAAAATTCAGTTTGCTACGTGACTGAAACGTTGCAAACATTTGAGCTCATATGAACACATTCCCTAAACCACAGTATAGAGCCTTCTTTAGAGCTCTATACTGTGCCTAAACCTCTTAACTTTCGAACTATAGGGTGTTAACATTTTATTTTCTCTTCATTGATTGAAGAAACTTTCACAATGATGAGAACTGTGACGTTGATGAATACTTGTCAAAATAAGACCGCGACGTAATCGATCAAATGTCATTATTTTGAATACAAAATAGATCACCAGCCTACTAGTTCAAAATAATTTCGTTAAACCACAAATGCATGGAAATGGTTTTTATCTACTCACTGGATCGAAAGTAGACGTTTACTCCCTCATTTGAGGAAACAAAGTTGTCAATTTACTCCCACATCAGGAGGAACAAAATATTAACTTCCGAGGGAGGTAAAATAAATTGGCTTCAGCATGAATCCTTTGGCGTCGATATACCCATGAAATCTGTGCAATCCAAGAAATCATCAGTGCCTTTATCACTATTATGAAACAAAAAATAATGATATCCTTTTTGAATTCCAATGATATCATACGATTCTTCATATTCCGAACGTGCTTCTAATTAGAACTTTCAAATTCAGTTACAAAATATACAAATCAATTGATTCATGATGACAGAAGTGTCAAATTGACTATCGTTCTAATGCCGTCAGTTGTCTCGCGGATGATAGTACCCTCCATACCAATACCAACCTGGCAAATCAGAAACGAACGAGGGAGAAATGTTGACAAAAAAAATATGGACTTGCAACAATACTCGAATGGGGTTCCAACAACTTAGATTTCAAACAAAACACAAGCATGCCTTTTCTCTAGAAAAGCCGATCTCACTGTGCCCAACATAAGCTTGTCAGGAGTAACCATACCTTTAAAGACATTCATTTCGATGCTTGGTATTACTATCAGCAATAACCTTTCTAGGTAAAATCACGTGAGATCAATTGCTGAAAGTGCATCCCAAAAACTTGGATTTTTGTTTCGGGCCAGGAGCTATTTCACTTCCAGTCATCTACTTATGATCTATAAGGCACAGATCCGACCTGTCCTGGAATACTGTTCCCATATTTGGAGTGCAGCACCCAAACATACCCTGAAACTGTTAGATTCTGTCCAAAAAAAAGCAAATCGTCTCGTTGGTGATGCCTCGCTCACAAACTCACTCACTTCTCTGAAACAGCGTAGAAAAGTTGGCGATCTGGCTCTATTTCATAGATATTTTCATGGACGATGCTCTTCTGAAATATCAACAATTGTTCCTCCCTTGGCAGTCCCAGCGAGATTAACCTGTCGAGTTGAGGCTTTGCACCCCTTCGTGGTCACTTTGGAGACCTGCAGAACATCTCTTTCCAAAGAATCGTTCATCCAAAGAACAGCGAGGCTCTGGAACACATTGCCAAGGGCGGTGTTCCCCGAGGCATATAGCCTCCAGAAATTTAAGAAGAACACCAATTCCTACCTTATTTCCCTTGGTTCTCACGATGTTCTCTGAACATTACAGGATATCCTTTTTCGTGGGAACCAGAACATTAAAAAAAATTACGATTTGGATCGAGAGAGAGACCGCCTGAATTTCAAGAATGATGCTTTGAAAAAATGCGTTCGTTGATAAAATTATCTCACGCGGGAGGAAATGAATAACTTTCCTCCCTTGATATATAAAGGCTATTATTTTTATTTCGTGCGAGAACGGTGCATCGGAGGAAAATAGTTTGAGAAGTCGAATTGTTGCCCAGTAAATGAGGATCACTAAAATGTTTTTTATTTTCGGAAACAGCAAGGGCGTGCAATATTTTTTCAGAAAAATCTCCAATATACATCTTTGAACTTTGAACTCACGTCTCAGTAGCGTGATGATAAAATAATGAACACTGTATACAGGGTGTCCCTGAGAGGTATGTACAAAATCTCAGCACATATTCCTGAGGTCAAACTGAGCCGATTTAAAGCCACTTACCTCAGTCCGAAATTTTCAGTTTCCGTGGATTTTTTGGATGTGAAACACGAATACCGACACATTTTTACTGTGGTCATTAGAGGGCGCTAACTAATGCATTTCTTATAGTCTAGAATGGCCAAAACTTTTTTCTCCGTGTAGTTTTTCGCTTTTTTGCGATATTTCGGATTTTAGTGTTCGATGCCGAACCGTATTATTTAAATCATTTCACGCTCCTTTGAATCGGCTCATTTTGACCTCAGGACCATGTCCTATAAGATTTAGTACAGACCTTTTAAGGAATCCCTGTATAATATGAAAGATTTTATCGATCAGCAATCAATTTTTTTTCTCTATCGGAATGGAAAATTATTGAATGGTTCTGATTGTGCCTATCTGTATTTCATATAGTTTGAATTTGAATACTGAATTCGATTTGAACAAAAAATCTGTTTTTTTTTATTGCGGATATTGGGACAATCATATTTGAATTTGTTTTTTTGTTTTTTCCAGACGGTTGGTATATCTTGAGGAACTACAATGAGGACGATTTCGAAAAGAACGAAGTCTTGCAAAATCTTCACGTCAAGTATGGCGTTTCTCCATTTTTCAAAATATCCGTCCAGCCCAATCCCAACATGCCTGGCCAAAATACCATCAGGATATCTCCTTCAGGATTGGGCCTTCCTGACAAGGAGTACTATTACAGAGACCTAGATGACCCCGTAAGTAACCAGAACGTTTCACATCTAAAAAAAAATGAGTTTGAAATTTTACTACTTCAAGTGTTCAATATGTGTTGTTTGAATATAAATAGGTCGACATGAATGTGCTCTGAAAAAATTGAACAATGATTTCAGTTTCGAAATTTTCGTAAATGAAATCATTGGTACACCACTCAATCTCAATATCTGTATTTCGAAGCACTAACACTAACTAGTCCACTGTCGTGAATCGTTTTTCTCAGTAGAGGAGTAAAATCGGGGATAAAATGTGTCGTTTTTTTTTTCGAGGTATAACCAAATCCTAACTATTAGGTAATGTTCCTTATGTGATTTTCCATCATTGTCCAGCTAGACGACATTTTTCTGTGGGGACGAACTTTTTTATTCAAAAAAATACGAAAAAAATTAGATATTCGAAAATCGTGTTTTTCTAAACATATTATTCAATATTTCGAGAACTACTCAAGATATTGATTTGATTTTTCGTTTGATCGAAAGGAGATCATCTAGCGCTTCTCATCATGCCAATAGAATGATGAAATGAAATCGGTTTTTTTTCTGAATGAGTTGAGAATATGAATTAGTGAAAACCGTGTGATGAAATTTTCACTGATCGAAAAACTTTTTTATTATTGGAATTCTTTATATACAATCAGCGAAGGAAATTGAAATAATGAGTCGAAAAAGTTTTTAGATTGAAAAAATTCGATACATATGAAATAGTTTTGACGGTATGATTTTTCAAAAACATGCTAATACCGCGCCTCCGGTAACTGTTCGCGCTCAGCGCAATACCAGTGCCTACTCCTCGGCCTACTCCCAGTACCCGCTCCATCAGCGCACAATGTTATGTTGAGAAATTGTTCTTATGATGGTTTCAAAGTCAATGATGCCAGTATAAAGGAAAATAATACTGCATATCATATTTTTCAAAATTGAAACGATTTCATAAGCTACAAAATGTAAACGAGTTTAAACCAAACTATCAAACAAAAAATGATATTCATTTTAGTATTCTTCTTCATTTCCTGATTTTGGCCCAACTGGATCCCTGAATTTATTTTGGCAGTTTCCACATTTACATTCACTAGAACATTTCATTACTTCACTATTTTCTTGAATTACTTGGTGATATACTTAATTGATAATGTTTTTTTCTCTTTCGACTGATTTGTAAATGATTGAATATTCCTTTGGGTATATATTGACTGTAACAATAAGACTTGTGATACTTTGCATCATGAGCAAATGAATCTTCATAACCAGAAATTTTCCCAATCATATTTATATCGTTCCGTTTCTTTGCTGAGTAACCTATTTTATCAAAAGTTTGCTTCCAATTCCAATAATTCGATAGAGAATTCGATAGCATTTATTAAAATGGCTATCGTTAATTAAAATCATGCTATCGTTATGAAATCAACTATAAATCATAATTTTGTATTCATCCTAATTCGTAATTTTGGGTTTGAATATTTCTACATATCATAATTCAAAAATAAAAAATGTCCTATTTATAACTATATTTTTAGTCAAATCGTCACGACATGATGTATACCTACTCATTTCCCGCATGATTGACATTCAGATCAGTTCATAATAATTGATATTCTACTTATAGTATGCTTTTTTTGATGGCAAATGAATAGGGAAGATTTCTAAAGTTCGTTTATTTCAAATGAAAATTATTTCGAGATTGTTGAAAATAGTTATTTATGTATTAAGGGAATTATGAGGGCCTTAATTACCGATGGCAAAGTTTGCGTCCTGAGGGCCTCTGGCCCGAGGGACAGTAATTGCCAGAGGTTATTGAGGCTCTATAATTCCCGTGATACATAGATAATTTTATTTCTGACTGATTTCATTCATTAGATACCTTCCCGATTGGAAGTTAGACATGTTTTTCCGTATAATTTCAATGTCATCAGAACGTCAGATGATGATCTTGACTACCGTGAATAGGAGATTCCTTATTGCTACGTTATTGCGTGGTTGTTGCTATGCATTTCTCATTTGATTTTAGCTAGAGGGAATTATAGCATCTATAACATCCCAAGGGAGTTATGACCTTCATTATAGATATCGTAACTATGACGATATAAGCTTATAATGTCACTGTCAGGAATAAAATATATTATTGAATAATGATATATTAGTATACTTATTCTTTAACTCTTCAATGATATTGAAATCTCAATGAAATATTTTCGAATGTCCTTATAATTCGAAAACATTTTCACATGCCTATTTGAGCAGATACTAATTTCTGATGTTTCCTCTTTCTGCCCCTATCACAAATGATACACATTCTTTCAATATCAAAAATTACATTTGCATTCCGAGTTGATGGTCCCGCTTTTATATTTTTCTGGCAACCATCTCCGCATAAGAATACGGGATCCACAAATATCATTTCTTCTTTCCGCTGCTGATAATAACGAGAGCAGCCTTTGTATCCGTGGATTTTTTGTAATATTTTCATCATAATATGATACACTCTTTTCGCAAATCACACACTGCATCTTCAACAGGTTGTTACATACTGCCCTACAACCTACAACCTATAACTACGCTCTATAGTCGCGCCAACACGATCTTGTTGTCGCGACAGGCATATTCATGCCATGCGTAGGTACCTACATCTTTGAAAAATCATATTGCGAAAACTATACTACATATACAAATTTCTGTTGGTTCAAAAACTTTCATGACTATTTGTCAACATTTTGTTCGCTGCATATATACAAAAAAAAATCAATAAGAAAAAAGTTTGTCGATTGTTGAAAAAAATATAGCATGAAAAGTGATATCTGGCGTTCTCAATCAATTTACAAAAAACTGATGATGATTTATACTGTAATCATACCATCGTGAGGAGCAGAAAAAAATTCGTTTTTTATTAAAAAAAAAGATCTCCATACCTATTGTAGTTTTAGAGTTACGAGGAGATATATTTCAAAATCCGTGTTTTAGAAAATTCTTTATTTTTTCAGTTTTTTCTAAATAAAAAAGTTCGTCCTTACTCAAAAATGTCGTCCAATGATATTCTGATAGAAAAATATGTACTTCATTATATTTTGAAGGTCGGAACTGGTTATACCTTGAAAAAATTTCTTTCGAGAACGGAACGACTTTTTCGGTGGATTTTACTCCACTACAGAGCTCCATCGTTACCATCGAGATTCATTACATTTTTTTAATAATCATTGAAATTCACGATATTTCATAACATGAAAAACGTGGGAAAACGCGTGACGTAATCACCCGTGAACAATCCAATGCAATCATATAAGATTAGACTTGCGTATGCATCTTCTATTTCTGTGAGACAAGGGCAGGACCATTTCTGATGTCAGTTTCATCAAAATAAGAAATGCATTTCTTAGACTGATTTACTGCAGATAACAGGAGAATACAACACACAACTGAAGAATCAGATAATCCTAGGATTATCTTTGAATATTCGTATCTTGACTAGATGAAACAAGGATTTGAAGATGTAGGTGACAGACGATATTGGCGTTAGCAAGATAGGTGTACAATGTATAGTTGGTCTTCTTCTTTTCTTCTTGTATTTCTGTGAACTCTAGGCATTACGCTGTTGCCAGGGCCACAAAATAAAATCTCGATCATTATTAGGAATACTCTGGTATTTTTATTGCTACTGCAGCATCTCGCAAGAATATAAGTATTCAATAAGTGATTATCTGGGCCAGGCGAACTATTGTCTTCTGTGAATATGAATACCGTTGTCATTGGTCATATTGAATCTCATGAAGTTTTTAGTGGTCACACATCTGGCAGTGTCGGAATATGTGTTAATTATGCGAAAGCGAGAATTCAAATAAAGATGACTTTTGGTTCGGTTCATGACGTCATCGAAGCTAGCGTTTTTCGAAGGTTCCAAATTTCATTAATGAAAAAAATATATTTGTGATGATTTTAAACATCGAATGATTTTCATGATCAATATAAAATAGGTATGTGACGACGTAAATTCGACTAGTGGGTGCAACCCCATTTGAGTTTCCAAGATACAGTGTGGGATTTAAGAAATCAACTTTGTTTTTTCGCAATACATCAACAAAGGTTGAATTTTTTGCATTCCAATTTGGTACATGAATGAAAAGGTCTCGAAGTTACGGTATCGTCAAAAAATAGAGGATTGTGATGAGAAAATCATATACCAAAATCTATTAAGTCGTTCTCGAGTCATTCCTAAAAAACGTTTTTTTTTCACCTTCGATACCGTATATATATAATGGACGATATGAGAACGTTATTCTGATACCACCCTTACTTTTAAAATAACCACAGCACCCGGTGTCCTCGTGTATATTTGTTTCATATCCCGTTTATTTCCTTAGATGAAAAATTGAAATTTTCATGATACAGGTATTTTTTGGAATGGTCGATATATTCTATTGGAACAGGTATACTGGACACTCGGTATATAGCGATATTTCATATGTTGCAATTATTGCAATATTCGGGATATCAGAAGTGGTAAAATTTCGAAGTTTTCGACCTTACGTGGAAATTCGACATCGTCTGAAATTATTGTGAATCGATCTTTCTTTTCTGTTTGATAATTAAATTTATTTGAATAATCCATTTCTTCACACAGGTACAGACAGCTTATAGAGAATATATCAGAGACATTGTAATCTACTTGGGCAGTCCAAGAAATGAAGCCACGAAATTTGGCACAGACATGTTTTTCTATGAAAAACGTATAGCTGAAATTACGCCAGACAGAATCAGTCTAAGAAATCCCATCACCACCTATAACGCAATTTCTTTACAAGAGTTGAAACAAACTAATCCAGTGAGTATAGTTATTTTTTTCTGAGAGAAAAAAGAAAATTTGGGTTCCATCTTTGCCAAAAATGAATATTCTTTAAGACAATATGACAGTATATTTCTTCTGAGATTCCGTTAGAATTTGGTACCTACTAAATTATCAACTTATTTCTCGTTATTTTCCTTAGATTCAATTCTTTGATATTCTGCAAGCCATGTATCCAGAATCTAATATCACAGTGAATACAGAAGTAATAGTTACGTCTATGGAATATTTAGGGCAGATATCCCAGATTATAGCGACAACTGACAGAAAAACCATGAACGGCTATCTTATGTGGACCCTTGTTCGAGAATATATTCCCTATCTATCTACAAGTTATACTTCTGCGCTGGATACCTTCAACTCTGCATTGTATGGTAAGATTATTCGAAGTTTTTCATATCAATTAAACCATGATCTGAATATAACAGTTTCTGATTCGACAAGTGCCCCTTGCGCTGCCGAACTTTTATTTAGATTTTTGATTGACTTGGCCTTTACTTGATGGAAATCCACGGCAATTGTTAAAACTTCACAAACGATTAGATTTCCACAAAATTCTTAAACACACAACATGTTTCGCTAACACAGTAGCTTCGTCAGGTGATGTACTGGTACAATGAACTAAACCAAACACACCACGCCCCCCGAAAGGTTGAATGCCCAGGATCAAGTGCCGCCATATAACTAGCTTACGTTATATGATAGCTCCTCATCCCCATGTCCATCCACCCCCACTCACTAACGAGTGGACTTCAACCTTATGCATTTGGCAATCTGCATATGTTTTATAAAACCCCTTACTTGGTTTCAGTCTTCCGACTTTTAAACCTTTTTGTCTAATGTGTGTTTCCTAGCCTTTCTTTGCGTGGTGGTTCCCTACCCTAATGGGAATTAAACCAAACTTACCTTGCTTACGTTTTATATATCCTACTTTCCCGACTTGAAGGATTAGTTACCTGTGGACAGGTTCGAAAAACCTTCATTTTCGGAAATTAGGCACAATATCCATATGGTAAACCGGATAAACTTGAAAGGGTTGATAGCAAATACATATTATTACCTACTGAGAAAACAAATTCAACAGTGGTGAACTATTGAGTTCTAATTTTGAATTTGTTGATTTATAATGATTCAAAATGACTAAGTTTCATTCCTTTTTCTACGTGTAGAATTTCGAAATGAACATCAAAACTATGGCTTTCTTCTAATATATACAGTATGATGCAAATGTATGGAATAAATTCATTTCAAAACAAGACGAATTTCGAAAAAAAAACAAAAACTAGAGTTTAGAACTTTTTTTTCGACGTATTTTTTTAACTAGACGACCCTTCGATGTTCAATTCTCAGTAGCAGACCTCTGCAAGATTCAATTAATCACATGATAATCCATTTTAATTTCAATCTTCTTATGCAACATTTTGACTGTTGAATAGACGATCGGTAGACCTGTCAATCAAGGTGTCACATGACCCCTATTTGTATTTGAAAAAATCGTCCATTATGTCTTTACTCCAACACCGGTGACGTAACATCTCTCATATGAATATCATGAGATGAGGCTTCAGAAATTAAAACTCACGTGTTTTTGGAATTTTTTCAAATGTCGCCCATTTCTGAAATAATGAATTTATTCCATACATTTGCATCATACTGTATGATTGGCGTAGTGAATGTCCCTCTTTCGGAAGTAAATTTCAATATAAAACTCAATATCATAAAACAGCTTGCAGTCAACAACGGATACAACGTTAATTCGATAGACAGAATTATTTCTAAAAAAACTTTATAATAAAGCTATTCAAGAAGTTTATCCTACCATCAAGAATAATAATCAAGATTATAGAACTTTAACCTATTTCGGATCATCAACTGAGAAATTAGCTTCATTTCTACATACACAGGACTTGAAAGTAGCATATAGAACAAATAACACGTTGGAAAGGTTTATCAAGAATAATAAAGACAAAACTTTTAAATTCAAAAAATGAGGGGCATACAGACTCAACTGTGGATCTTGTCCTAAGGTATATATTGGTCAGGCAGGTCGTACGTTTGATCAGCGCATTCTTGAACATAAGATGCATTTTTTGAAGAAGAAAAGAAAATCAACTTACGCCAACCATATATCAGAAGAAAACCATAGTTTTTATGATCATTTCGAAATACTACACGTTGAAAATTAAGGAATGAAACTAAATCATTTTGAATCATTAGAAATCAACAAACTCAAAAATTTTGACATTTTACTCAACGATCAATTAGACCTCAATAGTTCACCCATTGTCGTTCTAGATGACAACCTAGTTAGGTAGTTAGTAGGCAGGAGCTATATCCTCGCACTAGGTCGCCTACTAGGTTTTCATTTAGATCGGCAATGGTTCACCACTGTTGATTTTTTTTTCCTAGTAGGTAATAATATGTATTTGCTATCAACCCTTTCAAGTTAATCCGGTACACTATAATCCTTCAAGTTGGGAAAGTATAATGTATAAAAGTTAAGCAAGCCAAGGTTGGTTTACTTCATTGTACCATATCACCTGACGAACGAAGCTGTGTTAGCGAAACATGTGTGTTTATACATTTTTTGGAAATCTTATCGTTCGTGAAGTTTTTACATTTTATTTAGATGGTTAACTAAATGATTCTCAGAAGACAGTAAAATGGAAGCTCCTAGAACAGATCGCTCTTCTATTTTGCTGAGCAAAATTCCATAAAAATACCTTTGTAGTTTTCGAAATTTCTGAGAAACCAACACTGGTAGGTAGATACTCCAAACCATCACTATTTGATTCATTTAAATAACTTCCTCACTATTTTTGTATTGTATTATAACATAATCAACGGAAAAGTGTTAGCACTTTTTCAAGCTGATGGTCTCAATATTGTTTATAGGTACACAGGAACCTTTGGAAAGATGGGAGATGTGTGCCAGATTGGTGAGAAAATTCATGGGATTGGCTACTAGTAATCGACAAGAACTACTGAATCCGATTACAAACTTTACTACTGAAATTATCGGAGATGAATTCAATTCCATTTTGAATATAGTAAAAAGTAAAATCATCAAATACCAGAATTCAGAATTATTGTACAATCACCTGAAAAGTAAAGTGAGTATACGTATTGTAGAAAAAAATGTATGATTAATTGATGTAGGAATGATAATTATTTATTAATATGCATATATTACTACTAATACACCAATGATTCAATCACTTATAATAGTCTAATGTAATGAAAATAAAAAAAATGTATTGAAAAACTAGACGCATCGGTTTTTCAGCAAGTCCTATGTATTTCAACTAATTTTGTGCTCACAGTTTTGAAATTTTCGTTCACATGACTATGTTGCATGGAGGATTTCTATTGTATATAGTATGATGCAAATTTATGGAATAAATTCCTTTCAAAACAAGACGACTTCCGAAAAGAATCCGAAAACTAGACTTCAGAACTCTATTAATTGATTTATTTTTTTGAATAGACGACCCTTCGTTGTTCAATTCTCAGTAGCAGACCTTTACAAGATTCAGTTAATCAAATGATAATCCATTTTAATTTCAATTTTCTTATGCAATATTTTGACTGTTGAATAGATGATCAGTAGACCTTTCAAACGAGGTGTCACATGACCCCTGTTTTCATTTGAAAAAATCGTTCATTACGTCATTACTCCAACACCGGTGACGTAACATCTCTTATATGGATATCATGACATGAGGCTTCAAAAATGAAACCTCACGTCTTTTTGGAATTTTTTCAAATGTCGCCCATTTCTGAAATAATGAATTTATTCCATACATTTGCATCATTATATATATTTTTTTAGTTTTCCACACTGAAACTACAAATTGGGGTACCGACAAATACCAAACAAGAACGCTATTTGAAACAGTACTACCTCAAACTAAAGATTCTAAAGTCGAACCTATTTGAAAGCGTGAAGAATGGTATGACTTTCCAGAAAAAGTTGGAAGAAAAAATGCTGAACAAAGCTTCCGAGGAAGATACTATTTTATCTTATGCCCTAGCCGAAGTTCCTAAAGTAGAATATTCACCTTCAGATAATGCAGTTATAATACCGAGGAGTCTATTGGTAGAACCGTTTTTTGATGAAAAATATCCTAGGTTAGTAGCCAACATTTTTGTGAATTATCGGTGAAGTACGTCTAGTCAATTGCCAAATTTATCGCAATGGGTTGCGTGCATGGTGAAAATAGACGTTGCGTGCAAGAACTGTCAGATGACCAACGCTGGAGAAAAAACAATGCACAACCTCACTTTTCTCATTTGTTTACAAGTGATTGAAATAGTTTTCCACAATTATTTTGGCATATGAATCGTATTTTTCCGCTATTCATCAATTCGCTCATGCCATCACATTGTGCTGTTGTAAAATGCACAAAAACTGCAGCGGAAGATGAAGGAATCCGGATGGTACATTATGATTTAAAAATAATTAAGTACCTACTATATATAGTCACTCACATATAGTTTTCATTTTTGAAATTTTGTTATTTCTCTGATTTCTCATCGGAATTCCTTCTGAAATTTCTAGAATAATGCAAGAAGATTGGATTCATGCAATCAACGGGAGGACTGATCTGACATGCTGACGATCGTGTGTGTTGTAGACATTTTCAATCTATTAGCAGTATTAGCTTGTATTGCAGAAGTGGCAGAAGGCAGAAGGAATTTTAATAAGGAATGACAATATTTCATAATGATAGCTATGTGAGATTACTATTTACCTGAAAAATCATATTCCCTAGTCTTTTGCTGCATTTTTTGTGCATTGTACAGCAGCACAATGCGAAGGCATGCTTGAATTAATGAATAACGCGAGAAACACGATTCGTATGCCAAAATATTGTGAAAAACTATTTCAACCTTTTGATTCCTCTGTAAACAAATAAAAAAAAGTGAGGTTGTGTTTCAATAATTCACAGAAGAGTGAGGTTGTGTTTCAATATTTTGCCTCCAGGGTCGGTCATCGTGCACGCGACCCATTAATGGAAAAATTACAGTGTGTTCTTTGTGTGTTATATTTGGTATTACCAATACTTCTAATTGAAAAACTATGGATCCTCAACTTTTTTGTTTGGAAGGGCAACAAACTACAAATCTTTCCCTCAGACAAGGTTGAGTGGAAGAAAGCACTTCCTCGTTCCTTTCTTGTGGGAACGTTCAAGAGCTAACTCTGCCATTTGATAGATAGACTTATTTTTTCCTCTAATGTATTTTTGTTTTGTTCTTTCTGTCTATCAATAAAAGCGTTTATTATTATTATTATTATTTTGAAAATTTTCCTCTAGATTTTTCATATTTCCTCCTCGTTTTTATAAATGAAAATATAATCAGATGATCTGACCCAAAATTTCTGTGCGTTTGAAAAATTTTACTGTTACACACATTAAAGAGAAATTGTGACACCTTGTTTTGAAAAATATTTGAAGAAGAGGATTATTTTAACTTTGCTTTGGACGTTTCGGAAACGAATCTGCTCCCATTTTCAACATAAATGAAAACGAAGAGACCAATAATTGTTACCAATGATTTTCCCATTTCAATTTTTAAAACGGGAAGCAGAATGTTCCAGAAACGTCCAAAGCTGAGTAAAAATATGATATTCTGTCGATATAACATATTCCTCTTCTTCAAACGTTCTTCATAGGTATGCGTCGACATTCTCTTTACAACTGCCTAAAATTATGACTCATGACGTGACGAAAATGTTGAAGTTTTCTTCATGAGAAGATGAAAGATGATCACATTATAAAATATCATTTATTTGTTTCTTTGTTCCATGTGTCAATAAATCCTTAGATTAAACCTGAACTCAAAGTGTAACTCATGCAGTCATTAGAATGGTCAATAATTAGACGCCATATTAGTTATTTATACATCAAGGTAGTAGAACTTGAGATGACTCAGAGTCAGAGTTTTTCTTCCTGCTGAACAAATCTACTCCACTTTGAACTTGGCTGGTTTATAGAAAATGCAAAAAAAATCTATGATCTTTTTTAATCAACTCTTTTCCCATATTTTATTCTTGTTTTTTATTTATCTTGATAATTTATATATATCTTGATTATCTCTAAATAACTTGAGTATTTCCATAGTGAAAAATATAATTTTTACAAATGTATCGATTTATCTCTTTCACACACAAGCACTAACCTATGTGAATGAGATACAATTCGAAATATATTTGTAACTAATATTTGATGGAAATCTGTATATTCTACTTGATTTAATAAATGAATACATAAATAAATACAGTGCAGACTCGATAATCCGAACTAATAAAAACCAAGGCGATTCGGATTACCAAAAAATTCGGATTATTGAAGCAGTTTTTTTTTAAATTTTTTATTACGAAATGCAAAAAAAAACATAAATACGAAAAAGTAACACTAAAATATGCATAAAATTGATAATATAATACTAGTTTCTAAAGTAATTTGTAATTTTTGTTTGCTTAACACATCTTTGATTATTTATAAAGGCCATTTCTTTTGATCTTTGAAGTACAAGAATATCATTTAACGGAATATTATTTTGCGTAATGTGAATCCCAGATACTAACAAAAGAACAATTAGGGGAATCCCTGAACATTTCACTCACAATTTCTATAGGAAATAAATAGGCCTAAAGGTATAGGTTCGGATTATCGAGTACTATGAAATTCGGATAATAGAGTACTCAATGTATTAAAAATGCTTGTTCGGACTACTGAAGAATTCGGATTATTGAACGTTCGGATATCGAGTCTGCACTGTAAATACATTTTTGCTCGATCGACCATAGAGGTTAAAATACAAAAATCCCATGTAGATGTATTTTGCGCACTATTTAACTTCGCACACTGTTTCGCAGAGGCAGCACCAAGAACTATCTATCTATCATCTATCTATCTTCTAATTAGGAATATAGTATATACAGGGTATGTCACGACAAGCTTACACTATTTTCATATCAAGAATCTGTGGGGAGAAATCTATGAAAATCGGCATGCTTACATTTCAGAATACACTCTTCTCATTTTTAAAATATTCTTCCTGAAGCGCTGATTTCATCGATACATCACACTTGGGGTCTATCCAAAAAGATTTCAGAGATCTATCTATATTTATATCAAAAATCTGTCGGGAGAAATCCTTGAAAATGTGCATGCTGATATGTTGGGATACGCTCTTCTCATTTAAACTATTCTCCCTGAAGAGCTGATTTCATCGATACATCACACTTGGGGTCTATCCAGAAAGATTCCAGAGATATAGGGTGTTCAAAATCGAGATTTTTGAACTTTACGATTTTTTTGTGTCGAAACTACTCATTATCGGTCCAAACGGCTCACATGCCCTATCTCAAATTTTGATTCACTATTTACAGCTATTTAATCGGAACAGATACAGGGTGGTTCAAGGTTCAGTAGTCTGATCACCCTGTATCTGTTCCGATTGAATATCAGTAAACAGTAAATCAAGAGTTGAGATAGGGACATGTGAGCCGTTTTGGCCGATAATGAATAGTTTCGACACAAAAAAATCAATCCTAATTTTGAAAAATCTCGATTTTGAAAACCCTATATCTCTGTAATCATTTCCGATAGACCCCAAGTGTGATGTATCGATGGAATCAGCTCTTCAGGGAGAATCTAAAAATGCAATAAAATACAGGATATTCTATTTGGAATAACAAAGTTGTTGCTACTTTTTGATAGAAGCGGCAACACTGCATCTAAAATATAAGTATACATATTTTCATGGATTTCTCCCGACTGATTCTCGATATAGAGATAGTGTAAGCTCGTCGTGACATACCCTGTATAATAGTGATATTTTGGGTTGTCCTTACTAAACATAGGTTGTATTAAAATGATACAAAAATATTCATTTATGGAAACGAAGGGGGAAAATCCCAAAAAATCTAGGGAAATGAACATTTCACCTCCTCGACTAACCTACAGACACACAGAATGATAAATGAATTTCGGAACACAGCTTGATAAAAAAAACTAATTATTTTCGCATTTCAGTTCCATCCTGTATGGAAGACTGGGAGTAGAAATAGCGGAAGCCATAGTCTCATCAGTCCTTCCTTACGATAGCCTTTGGACCTCCGACAGAAAAATTCTGACCCCCTACCACATGACAGTCAACGAATCTCTCCGAAACGTCCAATCGGGGTTGAAATGCCTGGAGGCTTTCATTTCACCCTTGCAAATGGCTAGTGAATTTTCAGTTTCGAATGAAACTGCGCTGAAATCGTTGATACACCTATCGGCGATTCAAGTAGCGAAAGAGGTATTTGAGTATTTTCAGTATTTATTAATATAGCCATGAACAGTCATATGGTTTACATACATTTTTCTACTCACATAACTAGGTAGGGTCACTTGATGTAAATTGACGTATTTGTCATCTTAACAGGGTACGGACAGATCCGCGTCTCCTCTCACTCTAAAGTGTTTGTGAAACAGTTATTTAATAATAATAATAATAATAATAATAATGATAATAATAATAATAATACGTTTATTATTCCCCAAAAACCATGACAAGTATAAGGTTGTAGGTAAAGCATACTTAATGTGGCGAATAAATGGCCAGAGTTCAGTTACATTCTACCAAGTAGATTGAAACTGTTCTTCCATTCTTGCCAGACCTAAACCTAACAAGAAACAATTAATCTAACGGCATTAGTATAGTATATATTTTTTTCGTGTTATGAGAGTGACATTTATACATGTATGTATGTATGTATAAATAAATAAATAAATAAAAAAATAAATATGAAGAGTTAAGAAGAAGAGTGAGAGAGGAAAAGAAGAGGGAAAAGAAGGGTCGAGACAAGTATGCACAGCAGGAGGATCACTAAAAATAAATAGAAACGATTCAATCTCATATATGGATACCAAAAATGAATCAGATATTCTGGAGTTGAAGCAATTGTTTCGAACCATACTTTTAGATGATTTAAGCGAACGACTGTGACACGAAGATCATTAACAAGATTGGTGATGTTGTAAGAGAAACTTCTTTTATAAATTTCTTTCCTATGTCTAGGCACAGTAATAAGACTAGAGTGACGAATATTCAAGTTATGAATATCACTTCTGAAAGAGATTTTATTATACAGGTATTCCGGCTTTTTTG